GCCAGCGCCGTACTATGGTATATAATAACTCAAAGATTATGTTACAATTCAAAGAACAAATTAATTTGAGTAATTAATATCGATGACGAATTGCATCACTTACAAATTAAGATATTCACGGAAAAGTAATAACAATGCAATCTATATAACTGCGTCGGGTAAACATTTATTTCCTCATCCTGTTATTCTCGTAATTCAGGAACAAACTACTACGAAAACTTGTGCACAATTTGTAGTTTGGAACACGATGGGTTATCTTCACTATATTTATTCTTTTCTGCCCTTACTCGGACAAAACTTTGTCTGCTTCTCAGAAAAAACTTCAAAGATTTTATTTCAGTAATATATATTAGCAACATTGAATATCGTCGGCATAGCCAGAAAATTCAATTCTACATAATACATGAGAGTTTCCAAGGCAAAGAAAACACAAAATTTTATAACAATGAACATTTGTACCAGAGAAATGACAACAATTCTTGATCTGAAACTAAAATTTTTATCTCACCTTTGTGTGCATTTTTATGGGTGATTATTTTACAAATGGTTCTAGTTATGAGATTGACTAATGATCTGAACCAAACTGAAAATCCAATGGCCACTCTTTGTATACTCATGCAGAAAAGGGGTTACATCCATTAAGCATTGCTTTTTATTAGTTTCATTAGAAAACTGTTACCCATGCAAAGTAAATGGCTCTACAGATTCAAATTTTAAAGGATCTGATAATCTTAGCTGTGAAGAAAGCATTTATCACAGGACGACATGACACTGTTACACGACATGGCACAACAGGGCATGAGACTGTAACACGACATGACACAACACGGCATGAGACAGTAACACGACATGTCACAACAAGGCATGAGACTGTTACACGACATGACACAACAGGGCATGAGACTGTAACACGACATGGCACAACAGGGCATGAGACTGTAACACGACATGGCACAACAGGGCATGAGACAGTAACACGACATGTCACAACAAGGCATGAGACTGAAACATGGCATGACACAACCGGGCATGAGACTGTAACACGACACAGCACAACAGGGCATGAGACTGTAACACGATCAGCCCTTCAATGAAAACATTGTAATGCTGGTCAGGAAAGTCATACTTTTTCGTTGAATCAGCATAGATAAATCCCAAAGCTACGCTAGATCTAATTTATTATAAGTATAGTATGGATAGTACAATCAGCAACTCAATTACAGTGCACTGTTTTACTGTTAAATATTTCTGATTTTCATTTAATGTTCAATTTGAAGTTATATAAGAAACTTCCAACATCGTGTCCCGCTTTGATGAATTTATTCAAAGAGATTTGTGACTCAATTTTAAGCTATCCAGAGAATCATAAGTAACAATATATATCTTATACATCTTGCATAATTTCTCGTATAATGTATAATAAATCAATATCTTGTATATAAATTCTTGTATATATCTCGTAAAATGTATATCTAGGAATTATTCACACATTCTTGAACTTGCTACAAAACTAAACTTTCCTCCTACATATCTCTGTGGAAGCATTAAGAAGAATTTCAAGTCTAGTGACTTGGAAAATTTATCGTGGACATGAAGCTATTGAATTGAGTGTACAACCGAAAAGAAACTCAACTAAATTCAATACCGATTGATTGTAAAATTAGCAATGCAGTGAAGTAAAATCGTGGGGAGTGGTTGATAACTTGATGTTTCAGAACGACCATTATATATAATAGTGTTCGTATAATATATACTAGCAGTGCATATTATCCTATAATACAGTATAATATACACTAGCAGCAGAGGTGGGCAGTAGCGCGCTACATTTTCAGTAGCGGTAGCGGCGCTATATTTAAGGCAATGTAGCGGTAGCGGTAGCGCGCTCTACATATTTAAGTAGCGATGCGAGGTTTTGCCGCTACAGCGCTACCGCTACATTTATAGATAAAGCCTTTAGATTTTACTTGATAGTATTAAATATTGTTTAAAAACCAGCATGATACATACATAATATAAATTACAGAATAAAACTGTACGAAAGATTTCGGTGTAATGGTGTCAACCTCAGCCTGTTACTAGTGTCAACATGTTAGTTGTTAGTGAGGACAGTAAATAAATAAACTCACTCACTTGTTACTTGTTAAGTTGTTACCAGTTACCACTTACAGGTATTTTTTCATGTTTCAGTTTGCTTACAGTTATTTTACACAGTTATTTTTATGTTTCACCTTCTCTACATAGATGTCTACGTTAATCTACTAATCTCAAAAATAATCCACATATATGTATAAATAAAAGACTGATTTTTTATATGGAAATGTGGATAATTTTTTAGATTGGTAAATTAAAGTACACATCCATGTAGGGAAGGTAAAACATAAAAATAACTGTAGCATTTATTTTCTGTATCTAACCCGTACTAGTTTGGTTAGGTTAATTGCAAAAAAGTTGCATCAATATGTTTTGAAAATGTTTTATTATCATTAAATGTTTATGAGTGAATCCCAATAGCAGAATAAGGAATATTTAGAGATTTCCAATAATTTAGGCCATTGTAGCGGCTAATGTAGCAGCGCTACATTTTACTGTAGCGGTAGCGGTAGCGCTTGCTACAATCTAGTGGGTGTAGCGGTAGCGGTAGCGCCAGTTACATTTTGAGCATGTAGCGCCACGTATTTCAAAGGGTAGCGCCGCTACATTTCAAAGTAGCGCTGCCCAGCTCTGACTAGCAGGACCACCACACAACCCCAATAGAATCCAGCTTCTATAGCTACAAAATAGCTGGTAAAAAAAACTGGGAAATTCAGAATGTCTGTCAGTCACAATGTGCAACAGTGCAAATTTGGAAACCTGGGATTGATCGAAGAGTCTGAAACAGTATCCCCCTAAATTGTTTTCTTGATGATGAATTTACAGCACAGACTGTGTTATTACATATATTCATAACTTTGCTCCTTTTAAGTAATGCATCTCATGTTCTTGAGAAAATAAACTTGTTGACAGTTCTCGAATAAATAAATTACATAGAACCTGCTCCTTTTCATTTTAAAGCACATTTATGATTATTTTATGTATCGTTTTTGATAACCGTGTCTTTATAAACAATGAGAAGGTGTAGTACAGCCAAGCGCCAGGCCGCAAGCGAAACAGGATGTGAAAAAAAATCATGTTAGAATTGCGGCCAAAAACGATTAATAGGTCAAGCAGCGTAAAAAAGGTAATTAAATATACCAATATTAATTTATTACTTTCAATGACTCAAAGAAAATAATTATTTAAACAGCAGTTTGAAACTTGTTAGAATCATTAGTACTCTGGACAAATGGGTACTTATAGCATCAGCCATGGAACCTTTAAACTCCGCAAATCGTGTACATAACACCAATGAAATGGAAGCTCTAAAATATTTATGATCATTAAACCTCAAGGGCTTTGATGACCAATTCTCTGAAGCCAGCAAGAAAGAAGCCAGATTTGCATCTGAGAAAGGAAGCTTGAAGAAGAGATGGGCGAAATGCAACAGGAACAACACATTCGTACAATAAAGCGCTTACTCTAGTCGCCAGCCACAGCACGCGAAAGACAGAGACTATATGTGCGGGGTATCCTGACTACAAAACAACTTAATCCCACAACAGAATAACCTTCACAGCAACCTAGCCCCTCAACTGACCAACCTACACAACAGCTTAACCCCTCAACTGACCAACCTACACAACAACTTAACCCCTAAACTGACCAACCTACGCAACAACTTAACCCCTAACTGCAATACCTACACAACTAAACCCCACTGCTGTAGGGCAGTTCAAACTTAACCCCATAACTTACCAACCTACACAACAACTTAACCCCTAACTGCAATACCTACACAACTAAACCCCTCAACTGTAGGGCAGTTCGAACTTAACCCCACAACTTACCAACCTACAAAAACAACCAAACCCCACAACAGTGGCCCACGGTCAGGCTCGCCGAGGCATGTAGTGGGGCACCTGAGTGCAATAAATTTTATAGGAGAACGTGCGCAAATACTCGACTAAAAACACTTTGACGGACTGGCAGTGCAGGCAGAAAAAGTCCCCGTGAACAAAAAAAAAAACATAATCGAAACAAGCCACAAACTTCGATACAGTAACAGGGATCTCCGTGGTTATGAACCTTTGCGTTTAAGCAAATATCTGAATAGCAGTAGCGTACAGACACTCCTGAGCACCGAGTCTAGAATACAGCTTTACTATATCGATCTTTCTCTAGCTATTCAAAGCCACTGCTACAATCCCTCTACCAAATAGAATTTTTTTAATAATATATTTAACATGTAAATATCAAAACCGTAACTCGTTCAGGCACCTCTAAAATTATACGCTATTCACTTTGACGCGATACGGCTTCATGCTCTGTGGTATTCAACTGTACATTTTACATACCCTTTAATTTTCGCAATCAGTTCTTTAAAAACTTTAGTGAATCCAGAATCATTTTAGGTTGCGGTGCATTTTATTTATAATCTATAACTCATCAAAATAATGTTGCTTATGAAAAAAATCCGCATTATTATTCGGTAATATTTCCGCATCTCAAAAACTACGAAGGAAAATCCTGTCTCAGACTTGATGTCAAGCAGGGCCACTCGTCCCCTGCCCGGGACATCATAGCTATGCCGGGACCGACGAGGTCGGAGTCGCGAGATACGGGTTGCCGTTCAGTACTTCAGTTGCTAGCCAGCCCTCGTAGGCAGCGGTGGTGCGTTGAAAAGTCTCTCTCTCACACCCGCTGAAAAATTTCCATGCCTCATATTTAGGAAATTTTAAAATGCAGCTATTAATTTTCATGGTGTATAATAATCCATGGTCTGTGATTCCAATTTATGATATTTCTCCGAGTATGTTTATTGATTATTTTTGAAGTAGTTTTTATTAATACGGAAATCAACAAATTTTCTTACGCAAACCGGAAACAATTTGTTAATTTTTTCTGTGCCCTTACTTTCAGGCAATCTTTTCTTTTGTATGTGAACTCTTAAGTGTTCACAATACGTTAAGTAGCGATTTGCAGGGATACTTTGATAATTTCATAGTATTTTAAAGACATGAGTCGGGGTGTCAAAAATGACTCATAGACTCCATTATATACTAGTGACAGCCATTCTCGTATCGAAGGTAAGACGTCCACTAGTATTAGACTAATAGACTTCGGCATTATGAATAAATTAGCATTTAACACAATATAACTTTAAAGTTAAATCCTTCATTGATATTTATATGCTTATTATGGTTATTTTGAGAGCACTATTGTTACTATTTATAATAAAGTTATTATTTTCGAGAATTATTATGTATAATTAATTCTTATCAATATCTCCAATATCTCCTTGCGACAATAGGGGACTGCATTCAGCGCCTGCTAGAGAACGTCGTGTTCTCTCGCAGGACAAACTTATGAACAATTGTTCCGGATCTTCATGTATAAAAGAGCACTGATCATTTCAATTGAAATTTGTCTCTGTTTCGAGGACTAGCAGAAGAACGCGCGATTGTTTCCGATAACTGACTACGGTAAGGCAGCTTTCTATTGGACTTTAACGATGCTTAGCATTATTTAATATTTGAATTAATATTTTCCGTTGTTAATGACACTTGTGAGTTTCGGGGAGTTAAACTTCTGCTCTGAAATAAAAGCTTATGAAGCTTATGAAAAAGAAATATCTTTTATCTGACTGAATCATTATTATCATTTGATGTATTTTTTATGCATTCGATTTATTTACATTAGCTCCATGTACATTCAGATATTTTAATTAGAATAGCATATACATTTTTCAAAAAGAAAAATTTACATCACATACTATTTACTTCATTTTAATTTTGCATCTCATGTTATTAAGTTCCAGCTAACACTAACTAAAACTTCACATCATAACTATTCCGTGGTGACTTGAATATTTATACATATGACTTCAAATATACCGGAAATAGAGCTTATTTATAAAGATTCAATCGAATTTTACGTCTTCATTGGAAGTTTTAAAATTAAAATCCCCATCAATCAAGCCACATTTCCGTCACCTTAGTTTCAAAATTATTATGCAACGAATAAGGAGCATAATAATTATGCAAATTTTCAAGTCGTTTCAAATCGGACAGTTAAACATGAAATTGTATCAAAGTGCAGCTTAATGACATTAATTTTTTTTTTTTTTAGGGGGATGTTTAAGATACTGCACATAATTCTCATTGCTTTGCACTCTTAATAATCGTTCCGAAATTATCGTGACAACAAATGAGCATTTAAATTCAGTTCTAAATTACATTTGAGAATTGTCTTTTTTGTCGATGTATACTCGTATGTGGTCATAACGAGTCACGTTCGCGCCATCGAGGCCATACGGACGATAAATAATTTTTTTCTCTGTTATTTTCTGACCTCGTAGCTGATTTTTCAACTGGCTATCATCAAAAAATTAATCATTACCCACACGAAATGAAGAAAAAAGCCAGGCTAATGATTTTTGTTTGTTTTATTTTGCCGAAAATTTATTTCAAAAATTTTTATGATTTTGCAATTCTTTTTGCGTCTTACTATTGGTACCGTAGGATCGATGGTCTCCTATGCCGGATAACTGATCACCGTACAAAAATTTCCTGTTCACGAATAAGTTGATGCTGCTTCGATATTCGAATCAGGAGCAACGTCGATATTTGTTTATTTTAATTTGTTCAGCGAGGACTTAGTTCAGCTAAAATCGGAGACCTGATCGGTTTTGTTAGCCTGCGAATCGAAACTTCTAATTCTTGAGATTTTCATCGTTATAACATTCCTTCACACGTTCGGGTCTTATTAGAAACTTTTAGCCGTTAGCTATAATTATTAACCATTTGCCCATTCATCCTTCGGACATCTTAAAATGTATTTCAGTAATTACGAATAATGAAATAGAATACCAGGTTAATGAATAAATGTTTCGTATTATGATGACATTGCTTCAAAACTTTATGGGACAGCAACAAATATTCACACTGCCTACCGCAAGTGCGAAACCTTTGAAATTTAGTTGAAATGTATAAAAGCTTAAGCACAAAAATCATTCTACTCATAATTGTACGTAGGCATATTTTCATATGTTGGTATTACGATTTTCTGAAGTCCCAAGCGGCCATCTTATTAAGGAAAAAATTCTGAACAACTCACGCCCTTCCATCCCTGAATTAAAAAATTGTGGTTTTCACTTCATACGTTATATCCTGGAACTCATTGGAAAAGACTCGTTGCAAAATATCACTGCGAAAAAAGGTGGAATTTAGTGAGCTTTGAAGTGTCACGCAATATGTCCGACACGAGGTGATTATACCTTCAATAATGGCCAAGCCATCACGGCCATACCGTCGCGTGACGCAATCTCGCAGCAAATTTGGGCGGATCATTATAGTTAGGATATTGAATATTATCATCAAAGCTGGGACGATGAAAATTAATTTACTCAGCGTATTACCTCTTGTGAGCACAAGTTGACAGAATATTAGTGGTTTTATAAAGCGAGGTAATTGCAGCGGCTAGCAAATAAGAGTGGGCGTCGTCTTTCAATTTCCGCAAATTGTAAGCTGGCTTCATGCAATTCGTGCAAAAGACTGCAATCAAGTTTACAAATTATACATGTCAGTTGGAGTATCCATAATGCAGCTGTGATTGCTTAATATATAATCAACTTAATAGTTGATCAATTATAAACCTGTTTAGGCTGTTTTACGTTAGTAGCGCAGAGAAGCATCAGTTAGTGCCGGCAATTAGAGTTCGATTTGTGAAAATCCGTTGTAGCTGAATCAATCCTGCCTCGGTATAACCAATACTAATCGGGGGCTGAGAAGCATTTTTCTTACAAATGCAGGAAAATGAATAAGTTAAGTGAACTGACCCATGCATTAAGGTATGACTTGCTTTTTTCTTCCTTTGCTGTGATTGGTGGCTATTTTTCAACCCAATTAGTATTACCCCATTTTAATTCATCAGATTAATTTTGTCTTAATTTTTTGAACACATCCATCATTCGTTCCAAGTCTCAATCGCCAACGTTCTAAAGATAAACGGTTGACAAATTATTTGTATAGTAAACAACGTGGTACAATAATGGAATATTGTCTTAAATGTGATCCCAGACCTTCTTTTACCACCTCATAACTTCCCTCCCACCACACATCACTCCAACACACATCACCCCACCACACATCACCCCACCTCACATCACCCCACCTCACATCACCCCACCTCACATCACCCCACCTCACATCACCCCATGCTGCCTGTTGCTGCCTGTTGCTGCCTGTTGCTGCCTGTTGCTGCCTGTTGCTGCCTGTTGCTGCCTGTTGCTGCCTGTTGCTGCCTGTTGCTGTCTGTTGCTTCAGCTGAAATTTTTTAGATTTCCATATATCGCCTCTGCGACGTACGGATCTACTATTCAGAACCCACTTTTACTTATCTTAGTTTTTTGTCATAAATCAAAGATTTTATATATACCATTTGAGATCATTCTTGGATACTGGAAATTTCAAAGTTAAACTTCCAAAATATTTAGATTTTCATTAACGCAAGCATTTCTACCATCAAAAGAACAGGAAATGATTACCATTCATTTTCAGTCATTGAGTGCTTAGAAATATTCAAAATTATGTTCAAAAGCTCCTTGCGCGTTAATCATTAAAGTTATTTATTTGTTTGCAATTATATCAATTCCCCTCACGAGTTTAAATTTTGACTGCAAAAGTTAGAGATAAAGAAATCAAATAATTATATCCGCCATCCTACGCTTCCTTGACGGGACTCTAAACGCCTTGATCTCTGGAAGGACCATACAAACACTAAAATCCTTTCTAAACCCTGCCATTTATTCGTGAATAGTTACAGTCTTATCTAAGTGTAGATTCCGTCATAAGAAGAAACAGATTTTGTGAGTTTCTCAGCATTTACGTCAGACCTCTCGGACCTGAGGAAGCTTGAGATAATATGTTCCCTTCACTAAATGTCACGTCCAGTGATATTTATTCTAGCCATTTACAAAAGTCCAAAATGCTTCTAACACACGAATCACATCTTTGCAGTAAAGCCATAACATTTGAACATACTACAATAATTGTTTTACACAGGCTGATACCATAAACATGCGTAATTCATGACTATTTCAATATTTATTTTCAATATTTTCAGACTTATTGGAAATTAAATTTCATTCGTAATGCGTGACGTCAGTGATACCACGGCAACGTGTAGCTCTGAATTCAACAGCACGGCCAACACGAAATTATTTTGTTCGCTGCAAAAATACAGGCTCGGCTTCAACTTTTCGTTGCGACACTCGCAGTTCATCAGCATGCATGGCACGCAGCGCTTGCTCAGGCCCGATACTGTGCATGTTGATGCGCGCTGGACAGCCTCTTATATTAATGGCAGAATTCGGAAGAAAATCTGGCAAGATGCTTACAGGGAACGCTTACGTACACGTTAGTGCAGTGGCCCGGCAGGGCTTCGTTTAGCGCAAAAAAAAAATAACTGTTAAAGCGTTAGAAGACATTTGCACCGAAAAATATTAAATTAATGATTTTTTTGGTACTTCAAGTTTTTCATCGAATTAAATTTACATTTGAGCATGAAGTGACAATATGTGTTCACTTCCAGATTAAGGTCTTTTGTTTTGGAATTAACCTAATATTTATCTGGGCCAAGCAACAGGTACTTTTTGCAAGTTTCTGTTCAAAAGTCAAAAGTAAATCTTAACTCGTATTATATGACTTTTCCATAAGCCTATAGGACAACTGCGCGGTAAACTCTGTGCCTCTCGACCACGTGAGGGCTAGAGTACAACTGCGCATCTCTGTACGACTGATGACATACGCAATCTCAACTACAATGCTTAGTTCTTTCTTCTTGCAGTACAGAACTTAATTAATTAAATTATTCACTTCAAGAAATAACAAACTTAGGAAATTTTTACCTCAAGCTAACCCTACTCATGGCAAGAATGTCATCTTCAGAATGTTGTGCCGATTTATTGTTGACTTAGTCGTCTGCTTACACGAATGTGATAAACATTCAACTTCATTGTGATGTTTCTAAATCGCAAACAATATTAATTTAATTCTGTATTTCAAAACTGCAAATTAGTCATTTGAATGTTGAAAACATTTATATCTCTCATGTTTAATCCTCATTATTATATTATTCCTCATAATATGTCATGTAACTCATGATTTCGCGCGATACCGATCATCATTAGGTATTCTAAAAATTGATATGTTAGAGAAAAAAATTCTTCAAGAGCTCGTACGTTACAATGGCAAGTCATTGCCAGTGTTTATCCACCTGCTCAAGAAGGTGGAATTCAACCGGTTCCATGGGCCACCTGGAGAGTCAGGAGAGAGGCACCTGGCTTTTAAACAGCCTAAGCCAAGTGTGCCAGTGCGTTCTTGTTCCGTTCTTTAGAGATCCTTCTGACCCTTCTGACAGAGTTTCTTCTTGAATATTTATGTGCATCTCGTACACTAAAGTTTACCGTTAGCTGAACCTACATTAAATGCTGCTCGAGTTGTCTCCTCAATATCAATTAGGTCGATGGTTACATGAAGTATTTACCTGATGAATTTGATAGAAGTTCTTGCTTGCGCTCGTGAACGATACTTCTTTGCCCGTTCATTAAGTATTTTTAGACAAATTTTTAGCGGTAATTTAAAATACTAAGGTTTACAACATAAATCCTACTCACCTGCCACGGCAGACATTATAGTACGTAAGCCATATAAATAGGCTCTATAGAAATTGTTCAGCCTTTGATGATCTCAGCCTTTGTATTCTTAGCGTCGCGTTCCCCTGATTGGTAGCCAGGCAATCATGACTCTGGCTCGTCTTCGGCTACAGAGACGCCAGATTTATCCAAAAGCTCTAAACTTGCAGAATAAACTTAAATATGTCTTGAAGTTGTCTGCGAAAGTATTTTGTGTCCGATAGGTTTGCTGAAGTTCTATTTGCCTGTGTTAATAATTAATTCGATTGTTTTTTCCCCGATTACTGTGCGTACCGATAGATTTTTTCAATAAAGAACCGAACTCATTAGAATGTTTCTTATTTCCATTCGTGGTCCTCGCTTATTGTTAGTTACCCTGCCTCACTATTAAAATATTACTTTGTCTCTTTTCAGGAATAATAATCGTCCACGCCCGCAACAACCAGAGTTTTCTCACCAATCAAGAATTGCTAGTCCCGATCAATAGTTCTATTGGTCGTTTCTTGCAAATTAAATGAGAAATTTTCGTCTTTGGATTGCTACCCGAGCATTCTAGTTGGAGATAGCTGGGCGGACGTGGAATAAAAGACAAGCTCCTTTCCTCAACAATCTCCAACGGTTCTGTACACAAAGAAGAGCAGTAAATTCATTGCATCTGGCGGACGACTAAATGAACGTAACAGTCACTTTGTGATCACTTATTTAACTACAAAATTCAATATGCATAACAAAGAAACAATTCATGTCAATCAAAACATGGCAGGTGCTGAGAGCACGATATCCTATTTTCATAACAATCATACAAACAATTGTGATGAGACAACCCACGATCAAGCATCAGAGATCTCAAAGCCAGCTGGGAACACAAAGCTGAAGCCCTCCTATTCCTTCCAATCTAGCACCTCAACTCTCAGTGCATCGTCGTCCATTGATGAAGAATTCAAGGCAGGGGTCTGTAATTTTGATAGGAAGAATGGAACTTCATTCGTGGACACTAATTGTGAACTGTCCAAAAAACTAGGTTGCATCGCAGTTGGAGATGGAGGGCAATCCTCTGCAATTGCGCAGTATCCCATTGGCAATCAGTGCAGTGAACAATCATGCTCATCAAACAATAAGAAAAAATCAATGCCTCTTTTAAAAACAGTTCTTCTATACAATGATTGCAAAGATAAGTCAGATGGCAGGGTCTCCGTTTTAGCATCGTGCGTGAGTGAATATATAAAGGCTGTTTTTCAGAAGCTTGACTGTCACGCCAAAGGCTCGATATCAATAGAGGAGTTTAATTCTCTCTGCAAAGTGCTTGACATCAGTACGGCCATCAGTCATAGACACTCTTGGCTGAACGAAGACGGAAGGATTACGCTTGCAGGGTTTGAAAAATTATTGTGGGAGCGAGTCACGAACGACGGCGAACAAACTCTTCCAGTAAGCCTTGAAGAACGGCGGTCCAGTCCCATTCTGGCGCTCTCTGCACTTCACACCTCCCTTAGTCTCCAGAGTTTGAAAGCGATCATGAATGACTTGAAGGAGATTAGTTTATCTATGACGAGTAATGATAAAATCACCGGAGAGGCCAATGCTGATGCTTCATTACGAACGGAGCTAGATGCATCCAGTAACAAATTTTCTGAAAACTCTGAATCACTTAAAGGGTTCTTTAAGTCTTCTTTCTTAGTTTACGAAGAAAATAGGCGAATGAAATCTGTCATCGAAGACTTGAGGGTAAGTCTGCAGAATACAGACGCAGAGAACTTGGCATTAAGAGTGAAAATTCAGTTATTGATAGATAAAATAAGGTCTCAAGAAGCTGATCGCCAAAATGCTTTGCCCTCTTCCTTACAATTTCATGAAATCCAGCCTCAGTCTCTCATAAGGTCGGACCATTGCTGCTTCAGAGCTGAAAAATCGGAAGCAAGTGGCGTGTCGACCTCATTCGTGACAAGTAACTGCCAGATTTCGAGTAATATTATTGATGATTTACAGTCGAATACAGCAAAAGAGTCCGGATCTAACACCACCCCATCCAGCAATGAGACCGACATCATTGTTGAGGCTTCAAAGTATGAGTCGAATGCTAGCAGCATTTCTGAAAACAATTATAGATTTTCCACTGGGTTGTCAAATTTTGACCCCATATTATCGATGGACGATTGCGCTAAAGTTAAATTGCAACCCGAGACAATGCGCACGAACACAAATAATATAACAATGGCATTGCTGAGAAATCAATCTCAAGGAAACCATCTGGCCAAGCAAGAACCAACGCTGAACAACGACCAAGAGAAGCTTCAGAGAACTGACGAGATATGCAACGCTGAAAACCCATATGTAAAGAATACAATTTCCTTGACTCCTGAACTTTTATCACCTAACATTTACTGTATCCTTCCAAGTCAGGATAGTGATATCCTACCACAATCATCATTTACGCCACAACTTCCAAGCTACCACAAAGCGAATTTGCTGCAGGATGCCGGTAAACATGAAAACATGACAGCCAAGTTGCCTCGAATAATTGGCACGCAGGCCAAAGTTCTGTCTGTTGAAACGGTAAAACCCGGTAGAGAATGCATAATAGACTCTCCAATGCAAACACGAGGGGAAAAGGCGCAGGAAAAAACATTCAACGCTGACTCCCCCTTGTCGAAAAAGTCACAATCTGATTTGAGTGTTTCAATGCTATCCTCAGTACCCATGCCCTCTGACTTCACGTTAATTCCGCAAGTTATGACTTCAGGCCGTTTGTCTCTCAGAACTGAGAATCCTAGAAACGTCATTGAAGCTCGTCAGCCCATGAAAAGTGTTTCCGTACCAGAGTTGAATAATTTACGAGTGAATCTTCACTGGCATCCTACGGTGAACTCCGATACCGGCGCACAGCAGGAGCAGGCTCCCGAACATCTACCTTCAAACGCCACGATGACGATGTCAAGCCACCAGTCCCTTGCAAACAAGTAAGACATTCTTGTTGCCTTGAAATTTTTAAATCGAGCAATCTATCAATTTGAACCATTACCCCTTGTGATTGTTATAAATTTGGTTCCTCTTTGCGCAACTTCTTGCGGTTAGAGCGCTTCTCGACTTCACTTACTTTGTTGGACAGACTGAAATCTTAGTTCTTTTGGTAGTGTTTATTTCAACTGATTATGGCGTGCGAGATACGTGTTGAGGCAATAGATTCTCTGCACCAGAGAAATAAACTTGCAATGAACCTTCAGAATTGAATTAATAAATCGAATTAAATCGCAGCGTAGCTCTTCATATTATAGTATATAATATGAATATTATATTAGCTCACTGCGACAGGATCGCAGTGACGCGCAAATATATAACTGTTCGACTAACGTGTGCAAATTTCATTTCATCTCTTAAAGGATTTTCGTTGAATAATTTTTTTACCGTTGCTTTCGATTTTTTTTGCTGATAATTAAACTTAGATCAATACTGCAGGTCTTTGAATTATAAATGAAATCATTATTATTAATTAATGAAATTAATTTCGAGCTCAATTACTAGAAGAATTAGTTCAAATTTCACCTGAGAACCCGTCATTTTTCTGCGATTTTTTAGCTGAAATTACACATATTATACACTGTCTGATTCTGAATAATACACTTAATGCATTTGTCAACAACATTTCATCTGAGGAAATACATTCTTGTCTTCACATTAGACATTTCAACAAGAACTTGAGCCTAGAATCTTTCACACTAATAACCTGCCTTGTTTAAAGCAAAGACATCCATCGATACACTCTGTGTCTAGGATATTTGTACACATTCCTTAGTTTTCTGACATAAATTTCTCCTACATTGGACATTTTAACAAGAACTTGCACGTGGAATCTTTTTTGCTTATAAAATGCCCTTGTTTGTAAAAAGAAATCGAAACATTCTACTGATTGTAGATTCTATAAAAAAAATTGAGTTCTCTCACTGACCTCGAATTGCGTCGCGCGAGCCACCTGTCCACTCGATGGTTTTCACTAGACGAATTCTTCCGCTTTTTCTCAGCGTTTCTCTTTTTGAGCGCAACGCTTGCAATGCAATGCGGCGTATCCGTGATACGCTCGCCACCACAGGTGGCCAACGCGATATAGAAATGTGCAGTTTTTCTAGAGACTTTAAAGACTAGTAAAATCCTGAAGTTTGTTATAATTTTTTTTATATCCATCAGAATAAAAAAATTATCCTGAGTATAACTATCATAGTTTGGTGCTGGTTTGCATATTTGCTCAATATGCTCGATCTTATATATCTTTATGAAATCTCATAACCACCAATCCAGATAAAAGTTTTTGAAGAAAATCCTTCGAAATGTGAAAATTTCACCACTTGAAGAACATCGTCGAAATATTGCTACTGCTGCTGAGGCTGTTCACTGTCCAGTGTCCATGCTGCTGTTGCTGGTATTGCTGCTGCTGAGGCTGCTGCTGCTGCTGCTTGTGATAAGATGGTAAATGAACGCGTCCTCTCCATGGTTTTTTGTTATTATCAATCATCTCGTACCACTGCGGGATTCCCTCTAGATCGCTCTGCACATCAATCATTTATCTCTGATTTTCTCCATCAAATCTAGAGCCTCTACGTGCCGCTACACTGAGACGGTTCCCTCTGGCGAGAAAATCTAGGCCGAAAGAAAGCTCAATTTCTTTGCCATTCTTCCCGTCTTTGTTTGAAGCATCATTTTCCACGTTTTTTAGCATAACCTTCCCCAAAACAGACATAAAAAGTTCTTCGCTATCCAGGTGATGTCGGAAAATCAGGATCAAAAATTTTTCATTTAAAAAGTCCGCGCGCAACTTGTTTTATGTTCATCGATGCCGCAGCTCGAACCATTAATACCGATTGTGAAAACAATGTTTGATGGAATACAATAGCCTATAATGTGACTGTTGATGGGCAACCACTTGTATCCATATTGGCTTCATTCATATTAAAATTCAACTATTTTTGCCTCGAGCGTTAGTGGTTGTCGTTTCAGTGAGCAAAATCATTGATCGATATTATTCTATTCTGTTCAATAACATTGATGATCAGGCACAAAATCAATTTTCCTCTATAATGTTCGATGAAAAAAAATTGTTTTAGGGAACATTGAATCTGGAATTAAGCACAAACATCCAGTATTTTCACTGCGGGAGCAAATGACCGACCAAAGACTATTGATATTGGCACATGAGTGTCCTTATTTCTGACAAGAGAATGGGCCAATTTCCGTCATTTTCTCCTGGACCGGAAATGGGCCTGTGTACATGAGCTCCGCTCTCCGCAATTCATCGCAGTCCAGATCAAAGTAGCTGTGATTTATGATACCAATCAAACCACTCGCTGGACTGGCCAGAACTTGTCGTCTGCTTACGTTTTAACCCAATTTTTTCATATTCAATTATAAAAAGGATTTCAATTTGAGTGCTAATGTGCAGGTCTAACTTTAAAGCTGATAATTGTTTATTTCATAATTTCTAAACCTCAATTTCAATTCTCTTTCATGGGAACAACATTCTTTCGTAGGAAATATTAAAGCTGCAAATTCAATGTATGAATCACAGCTTTATTCTAGCAATTAAACCTAACTGCTGGTGAGGACATATCGTCTTTATAATGGAGCAGCTTAATCAAAGTTATATGTTACAATCTCAGAGTTAATCGATAAAATATTTTAATTCACTCTTCAAACACAAAATTAAATAACTGAAATAATAATTCAGTACGATATTCAATATCAGACGAAATTGAATTTATTTCAATAACAGCAACCCTTTATTGTTTTTTATTAAAGTGGGAATATTTTTGGCAGCGATGTTCGAGCTGTCACCTTCAATGTCGTCTCCCCGCAGCCACCACAGACAAGATCTGTAAAATAATGTTAACGTTTTTTGTTCTTCGTCAATGGCGGCGGCCATCCGTGACCGTTGACCGCATTACACTCGGCAGCTTCTATCACTCCTATACCTTTCAATTTTCACCCCTTCCCCCCATCCAATTTCGATGTCCTCGGTAGCTTTCATCCCTCCACCTTTTCAATTCTAGCCCCCTCTCCCATTTTGATCTCTTCATCCCTCTCTATTGATTCAAATCCAACTTACAAAATTTCAATCCATTTTCTTCCCTGAAAATCCAATAATGAACCATTTTTCCACTCTCCACATTTTTTCTCTACTTCTCAATTATATCTTCCCGTTCGCTATTTACAACCTTGACATGTAATATTTTCTTTCGTTTTATGTTCATAATTCTAAGCTTTCTTACCTCCAGAGCGATCATGATCAACCATGTCAAAATTAATTAAAACGAACCGTAGAAAAATATCCAAAATTAAGTTGAATCTGAATTATTATTCCCCCAGACATTGCCTAGACTTTGAAGACGTCACGGAAAATTGCCGCAGAAATGTGTGAGAATTCTAACGCATTCAAGGTAACTCTAAGCCATTTTATACCCTACGAATTCAAGGATTCTTTAGGCCGTTTTATACCCTACGCATTCAAGGCAACTTAAAGCCGTTTTATACCCCATGCATTCAAGGCAACTTAAAGCCGTTTTATACCCCATGCATTCAATTTAACTTTAAACCGTTTTATACTCCATGCATTCAAGGTAACTTTAAGCTTTTTTATGCCGCCATGCATTCAAGAAGTTTAAGCCGTTTTATACCCTACTCATTCAAGGTAACTTAATGCCCACTTCCTGAGCTTCCTGCATTACACGCATCTACCAGTGCCTTGATTGCTTCCTATTGACCTTCAATAATTAGGACTTATAATTCCATACAATTAGCAAACGCATCTGAAATTTCCCAGTGGCGCTTCACATTCTCGCAGGCTGCCTGCGATTGCCAATTATTTTAATATGCTTAATGACCGAAATTCTTGTCTAAATTTACTGTATATCTTATTTTGTATTTTTCCGGAAGTTCATCGACACACTGCGCGAGCTAAAACAGTATATAGGTTTCAGAATTAGGTTTTATTTTGATTATTATTTAATTATTTCAAGTTTTTTTCGGCTGTTGTAAGAATATTATTTGTCTTACTGAATGTAGTGTTACACTAGTTCAATAGGCTTTACTAACTGGTATACACATCAGTTGATATGTAACACATCACAGCTGTTATCAATGTCTGCACATCAGTTGATATGTAACACATCACAGCTGTTTTTAACGTCTGCACATCAGTTGATATGTAACACATCACAGCTGTTATTAACGTCTGCACATCAGTTGATATGTAACACATCACAGCTGTTGTTAACGTCTGCACATCAGTGACATGTAACACATCACAGCTGTTATTAACGTCTGCACATCAGTTGACATGTAACACATCACAGCTGTTATTAACGTCTTGCCTTCTTCAGAAAGGGTCACGCAAGCTATATTTCCGTCACCAACAAAGCCGTCTTAAAATTACCGTCTTTTATAGCCGCTATCGCAATCATGATCACAACTGATGAATGGCCTCAACCTTAGGCAATAAGTGAAATAGAAATAATGAAGAAAGCAAGCAATGATGAACACAGACTGCTATTAAATTGATAGATACCTCATATATATTTTTACGCAATAAATGAAGAATTAAAGCCAGAGTATTTGCATTGAATGCCATTTTATTTCCTCCATATCTTGTGCATGATCGACTGCTAATCGACTCGGTATATGCAAAAAGACGTGACGACGGAAAGAATTATGTTGAGGAATAATATAAATACAAATTTCTCGATCATCTAGCCGCATATTCCTATGCTCCTTTTTAAGTTATCGATCTCAGAGACTGACTACCTATTTTGGTTCCCGTGAGGAAAGGAAAGACACAGAAAAATTCACGGAAATTTCCTTATTTGAAGCTCAATAAAGAAATGAACTAGTGCAGACGTCATTGCAATATAAGTTTTATAGAAAATAAAAACATTAACATGAATTTTAATATCATTTAGTTTTAAAGATGACATCG